CGCGAGCGACGAAATATAATGAATTATGGCAACAACAAGCGAGCACCAGTATCTCGCTACCGGGATGCTATGCTTGCGACAACCTTTCAATAAAGCCCTATAAAACACAAAATGATGGCCCTCCTGTAGGATACTTACAAAAGTTAAACCGCTTTATCCATCAGCTGCTTGTACTGTAGACTTCTGTCGCTCCTGCGTCTAAATCTTCACTGTGGACGAGATTCTTTATCTGAAAGGATTAGCGATACTGCATCCCAAATATGTCCTCAAACCCAAATGTGTGCTCCCAAATATGTACTATTTATGATTGGTTTGGGAACGTATTTGGGCACTAATAAACTGTATAAAAAACATCGACGATTAAAGTGTCCCAAATTGGGCAACTTCTCAGCAGCTTTACAGCAACATAACTTCTTAAGCGCAACATTTCATCAACTTCTGTTTTGTTTTTAGCAGTAGGCGAGAACCAATCATTTGTAGAGACTCAAAACAACAATTTATATGCTTGTCATTTGGAATTTTCATTTATGGAGCACAAGAACTTCACCTACTCAGTCAAGAGCCGCTACAACGGGACCGTGTACTACATTTGTAGTCACTTCCGATCGGCCAGTAGCCCTGCTCGTCTGATCATCAAGTCTAGCGGAGCTATTGAAGAAGTCGGTGAGCACGCGTGTGTGCGCGAATCTGAGACGGTGATAGAAGCTACGGAGGAGATGAGAGAGGTTCTTGAGGCCCTCGCGACTACCGACATGTCGGTTGTGCCGTCTGCAGTGTGGAAGGCTGCGATCCGACACCTCCATCGCAAGCACGGCGAGAATACCAGCCTCCGCTACCTGCCCCGACACAGGGCTCGGTGGACGCACTGCAGGACTGGTTAGTCGAAGAGCAAGTAGGATCTAAGGAGGGAAGCGCACAGACAAGTGGAGCGACGTACGGTGAGAACAGACAGGGGAAGAAGAGTACCCGAGTTCGCTGTGGTGGCTGTGTACGAGTAGGGTAGGCGCCGTAAGCGTACGCCCAAGTGGCTTTGAGATTGAGCGTGATCTGGACCGTCCCGGGACGTCACGGTGCTTCAACGAGGATGGGTGTGAACCGACTCGAGACTATCTGTTCGCACACGAGAACGAGAGACGAAAGAACGAGAGAGAGAGAGAGAACGAAGAACGAGTATCTATTAGCTGACTTAGATTTGCTAAGGAGAAAGAATACAAAACGTTGGAGCCGTAGGTTCCGGCACAGGGCTCGAGTAAGCATCTGTTGGCCAGTGACGTCTTCTAGTGTTATCAAGTATCAACTGCGGACTAAGGACAAACAGCGCAGCAGGCACAGAACCTATACGATTTGCCCAGCGAATCGGGCAAGAGGAATAGCAAAGCTCGTTACATGGTGGTCATACAGGGGTGGTCTCGAAGAAACGAAGGGTCGGTCCGCAGTGATAACGAAGAGAAGACGAGTTCAGAAGTACCACAAGGAAGTCAGTCGATTGATTACGCTGGTTTACGAAAATACGGGGTACGAAAATGGTTACCGCTACAACGGTCGCCACATTAAGTAAGAAGGCGCAGAAGGTGCGTCGAGTCAGGAATCCCGGTGAGGAGGGTTCACCCAGCAGCACGGATTCCAAGTCGAGGCGTCCGGTGACGAGAAGCCAAGGCACGAAGAAAGGATTGACTTCGACAACCAAGCGTACGAGGGTGGAACGGCGTCAAGTAGCGGAGCCAGCCACAGATTAGGCGGAAGAGAAGCCTGTGGAGGTCAAACGAAGGACGTCAGAGAGGCAATAGCGGTCGACTTCGAAGGGCAAGAATGCTAAGGAAGTCAAGCAGTCCAAGGCCACGACCGGTGATGACATGGACACCACACAAGACCGCGATGTGAAGGAAGGTGCTGAAGAAGCTGCGATGCGAAACTAATACACGAGGTGGATGGAGTCCACAATGAAACAGTTAACGAGGGCGGCGGTTACGTTACAAATGTCTTCTAAGGGTGTGCATGGAGTTGACGGTGAACGACGTCACAAGCGTGTACATGGTGAATCCCAACGACGTGTGCTACGTGTACGTCGAGCATCAAGTGACAACGGTGTTGTTGAGGAGGTTCAGGATGCCGAACACGATGAACACGGCGACGACGAGACACGATGGGGTGATGAATTGGTGACAAGTGCAGCTACAAATGGCTGTGTAGCCCCGGACAATCACGCGGGATTGGAAGCAATGGCGTCAGCCATTTAGAATTTGATGACTGTGGTCGCGAGACTGCACCTAGCCCCTGCAAGAGGCCAAAGGTACAACGTTGGTCGACATGTGATGCGACGGAACGAGTCGCGTGATGATGGTATGCTTTTCTGTGGTGGCGATGATGAGTCTGACGGCGCCAGAGGTGATGGAGACATCGGTTCATCTGACCGGAGCACTAGTGATGACGACGATGGTGACGATGACCGCAGCGGTGAGAATGGCGATCCTGATGATGATGACGGCAGCAGTGGCGAGAGTAGCGAGCCGAGAGGTGGCTCCAGCGCCTCCAGTGATGAGTCAACGGAGTCTGACGAAAGCGAAGAGAACGCTGACGTCGACGCAGACGGCATGAACAACGCGTACGATGTGAGCAACATGAACAACGTGGGCG